AAAATAGAAACTAGCTATATTCAAACTATCCAAAAGAAGTCATATCGCGTAAGAAGGCACGACTACCGTCCGGATTGTCTCTCGGTACCTGTGTAAAGAAAAGTAGGTTATAAAAATATTGAATCAATGTTATTTTGCTATAACCAGTCTCAAAGTAAAATTACCATTTTATTATAATATAATTTCAAAAACATCGCCCTCTAAAACTCAGAACTAATTAGTTTAAGTCGAATTTCGTGAGGACCGAAAAATAATTATGTAAATCTAATTTGAACCTTAACTGCGCCACGCGACCTTATAAATAACCTTTGGTTGAACATCTTTATTACGAAAGGTCTCTGGAAAATGTTCACCTCGGAGTTTCACAACTTGCAGAGCAGAAGCGAACTACAGCATATTAAGGACTTAATTAAGCGTTGAATCAAGTCGGATTGTTTGAACTTCATCGTTTTTAGTAGTATATATCGTTGTAGTAGCATAGGACGACCGAAGTACCGTAGCTGACCAATTCACGGGTAGACGGTATCATCATGTAATGATTTATATTGTTTATTTATTTTACGATGTTATGTAAAAAGATCTTTCTGATCTCGTTTAACTCCTATATCGAATGCCGAAAAGTCTTCTGCTTGAAATCGATGTAAAACTATATCTCGAATTGTATATTATTAAGGTCGCTTAACAATGAACATATTCAGCAAGTGATTAGCTAGGTAAATTATAGCTTTGATAGTACAGCCTTGCCTAAGAGTTTTTGATGAACTAGGTTCACGAATTAATCACTTGTTTCACGCAAACACTACACTTTGCTAAATAAACCATTTTATAGCGTCTTATTTTGCTTAAAATCCACGGCATTTCGAACACTAGTAAAGTATATTCAAAAAAAGCAGCAAAGCTCTTCTCAACAAACACGGGACATGCTGAAGAATGTATTAAAATAAAAGTGTGCGAATCATCAGCAATTCAAAACATACCCTGGTTTGCAAGTGTTCGGGAATTTTAAATATAATTCATTAAAATAATATCTTATTTATATGAAGAAAGACGATAGAAACGCATCTTTATTTATTACAAATTTCACTTACGCTGTGGCCGGCTGCATTAATCCAGAAAAATCTGAAATTTCTGTATGCCTGGTAATAGCCTTCCAGGCGATCGTTCTCCCAAATGGGCAGACGGGGCGCCTTCTTGTATTCTTCCGCTCCGGGCCACCGAAGCCTGTCCACCCACAATATTTGACCTGAAAATCGTAAAGGTCATGTAATTTCACAGCGAGCTTAATAGTGTTCTGAACTCTTGTAGAGTGGCTGTAACCAGACTATAAATGAGGCATGAATATACGTTACGTACTTTCATCGTATGTTCAGTGTTTATTGTGTTACACATTAGTACATTTTGAAGCATGCTTATCGTATTATTTGTTACCAAATATTCTATATACTACAATGCTAGCATGTTTCGCCGTATCAAGCGGTGTTATAATGTGCTATTAATATATAGGGCAAATGCTTTTAATTAAAAAATAACGTTGCAGCTATTGAATTTAATTTATAAGTTGATTTATGAACAGAAATAACTCGTTGCGATCAAAGACTGGCTTTTACGTATAGATTGGAATTTTTCGCATGCGCAATTAATTAACAGGGCGATGGATGCATTCAGATTTACAACACTGTACATCACGTTAATCTTTTCATTCATGTTTAATACGCCCTTTCTGTACAAAGTTAGTTAATTATATTTCTAACTAAGTGTATAATTTAGTTCTAAATTTAAAAAACAATTTAATGTTTATGATTCAAAATAATGAAAAAACAAGTACATATTTTAACTTAAACGGAATAGACAAAACTGACTTAAGTACTTAATAAATAATTGAAACTGAAAAAAATAACTGAAAGCGCCAAGGTTCGAACATGTGACCTTAGATTGAAATTCTTTAATTGAAATAAGTTTTTGTTTATTAATATAGTAAATTAACAGCCTATATAATTATGTCTCACAGCCGGGCTCTATCTACAGGATATTAGGGGATAGTTCACCACGGGAACCGACTGCAGATTTTCTGGCATCACATTACTTGGAAATATTTTTTTTATTATTCCGAATATATCCAGTATTCCTCACGATGATTTTCTTTGTCGCTGAGCACGTTATAAGTCAGTATTTAATAGGCACCGAGATTTGAACTCAGGTTGCTCGAGTATATTGAATTAAGAGCGCCTGGACACTAGCTATCACTGCTCAATTATAATGTCATTTTGCCGTCATATTAATACTGATTTTAATTCTGATTATGTACTAAACAAGGACTTTCTAAGAAAAACTGACATGGATTTGGGTATTTACCTGGAGTGTCACAAATGAGGTCCAGATTTCCATTGTATTTGGTAAGAATAATATCGGTCTCATTTAATAGTGTCTCAACTGAAATAAAAGAGCATTTAATATAGTAATTATAATTCAAATCGATGTACTAAATTCACGTGTTCTTTAAAAAACTATTTACATTAAAAATAAACAAACTATGGTATTGCATCATTACTTCACAACATTAGTCTCAACCTTTTATACTTCTCTACTAATCCGTTTACATAAAGACGTAAATATATATAAAATTTGAATATAAAGGAATCGATAAGAAATTGATCAAAGTCAAACTTAAATAAATCGAAATAATCCAAATGCTACGTCCTAAATGATCGAGCTTCTGTCTGTTAGAAACAATTGCAGAAGAATCAACAGTACCTAAATTCCAACATTTTCAATCGAGAGATAGATATGGAAACATAGGTTAGTGTGCAAGTGTACGTGGGTGATGATTATGAATACTTCGTTCATTCGTTAATCTGTGAAGTGCAGTCTTAAGGCTGGTTAATAAGCTACCGGACAAAGAATCGAATTTAATGCCTGTATGTAATGGGCTACACTGTATGTAATTGATTTCTACATCGAGAGTTTGCGCGAGGCCGTTAGTAAATTGAGTAACGGGTGCAATTATCATGGGCCTGAATGGAAAAATAAACTGTTGCTTAAACAGAAAATTTCTACAGCCTATATGGTTGAGGCATCTAGCACACAACTAGAGACTGCGTTCAGGGGGTTTGAGACGTCTCCCTGGTCATCCACTTCGAGAAACACACAAGAACGACAACACGAAGAACTATCTTACAAAAAAGATAATGTTTATAAACACTCACTGCCTTCGGTGACGGGTTTCATGAAATCACCACGTTGATAGTCAAAAACGTCGTTTGATATGGAGCTCCACGTCACATGCTCCGGTATATTTAGGGCCCTTTTTACTTGAGTATTCATTAGAGTGTTTAGATCGATTTCACTCTGTCTGGCTTTGGACAGAAAGGGTCTGCCCCGGATCATCAAATCCCTCGCGGCTTCTAGCGACAAATAAGTTGGGTTCCATCAGTATTGGAATACAGACGGTCCTTAAATAAATTTTGCATCGGTGTAATGTTGTTTATCATATGAAGGTTTCCTTAACGCACTTCATGTGTATATTGAAAGACAGTGGAAAAGACGTATTCAGTTTTCACTTGATTTGATAAAGTAGATAAGACAGTGCTTTTAGGGAAACCTGTCGTCACGGTTTGTAAGTAAAATAAATATTGATGTAACATATTTTATGTGTAGATAAATTGTCTAAATATTTCTATTGCAGCTGCCCTTTGCCTGCGCTTTTTAGGTTACAGGCACTCTAGTCTACAACCTCACCGCGATTTCTTATACACTTTTGTTTTTATTGCAATTTCAGCAATACTTGGCGCCATTAATGTGATTTTCTGAAATAACTTTTATTAAGACAACAGCTTTTATTTTGTTTCATCTTAAATGCACAGATTAGCATTGACAAATAAGAATAATAAGCGACTAGATTAACCATATCAGGAAAGTTGATGATTGTGTACTAAAACTGAGGGGACCGTATGCTTGGAAGGGACTAACCAGTCAGAATACAACTGTGGGTGCATACTAAGCGAAGGCTAAATATCGTGAAGGTAAACTTCATACCGTAAGCACTTATTGTGGTGTCCGGTTGTGAGACGGTCATTTTCGTTAAGATGTCATAGAAGTCCACGCTGGTCGTTGCGTTGAACACCGCCCTTTGCGTTCTTGCCCACTGCTGCGTCGAATTCTCATATAGGCCCAAGTTAAATAGCCTCTCGGCCTCACGGGCTTCACGTTGGATGTTCTCGTAGCCATTCCTGTCGACGAGGCCGGCCGCTAGCAGGAGCGGTCCCCAAGTGAGCGTGGCGTCCACTGGCGAAATCCAGGCGTTTCCCATGGCTATGCCTCGGAGATTTGACCGGATTGCTCCCTCTTTTTCCGCCTGTTACAACTCCTATTTCAATTTCGGTACAATCTTTCCATCAACTCTGCCTTGATGATTTAAGTTATTTATTGATGTTATTCAAAGGCTGAAAACCCATTTTCTACATAATCGATTTTTTATCGTTTTTTGTTACCATCATAAAAGGTTTTGCCAAACTTGATGATTCCCATAAAAATACATTTGATTGGTCATTAAAATTACTTTTTTATCATTATTTTAATATTATTCATATCTATTTATTAAATATGTAATGTGAACGATTACAGAAGAAAATATGAAAAGGGATAAAGGAACAAAGCCTGCCAGGACAAGCCTGCGTTTTTTTTGAAGTGGGATATTGTATGATTGTCTCGATGTGGTCCAAACAACTAGCAAATATGGACTCTGTGCCAATCGTAAGGGTTTAGAATGCATTACAAATTATTTAAGTGATTAAATAAATTTGTAATTATTAATTTGATTCAAAGATGATTAAATAATTATAGAAAACAACGAAAATTAAAATAGCAAATAATAAAATATTAAACTAGCATTTTCAGAACTTTGGAAATATGCATTTTATTTTTAATCCTTCACTTATAAGCAGTTTCTACATCATACTTACTCTATGCATCAAAATAGCCATATCGACGGCCATTTTCCCTCCATAAGATTGACCGTAGATGTAAAGAGGAATCCCTTCAAATTCAGGGTGGGATTGATAGAAACCACGCATTAATTCCAAAAAATCTTCAGCTGAAATAACAGCACCGTTTTAACAATTATGATCGAGCGATGACATTAATCTAGTGAACTAATTATTATTTACCAATTTCGATGTTAGTCGTTGTTAGATATTTTAAATCATCCACATAGCTGAAACCAGAACCAACAGGGTTGTCGACAAAAAGTACGTTGAAGTTTTTCACCTGAAAAAATTTTGCCTTTGAATTGGACTAACAAGGTGAAATATAACACGTATTCGAGGTGAACATTTTTTGCACCACTATTAAGAGATGGATTTTTAATGTTATATTATAATAGATTGTTTATATATGATCTGCGAAACTAGTGCCTTCTTTGCATACTATGACTTTGAAAATGTTGTCAAACTTAAATGTAAATACCTACATTTAATTGTCATGACTCGAATGAATCTCACAAATAACAGAAATAAATAAAAGTCAAGTGCTTATGACGTTAAAGTTTACCGATCTTGAAAAGCTGTAACGTTTTCGAAATATAGAGGTCGTGTTCTCACCCATGTGTAGTTTCTCTCTTGCAATGACAGGTCGAGTGGTCCCAAGATGTCGAAGTTGCCGATACCAGTGGAGGAGCCGCCGGGGCCGCCTTGCAGCCACACTATCAGTGGTCGCTCAGTGTAATTCTGGACCTGAGCCGTGGTATAAAACAGCCAGTAGAACATGTGAGCCCCCTCGCGTACAGTGACATAGTCGAAGGCCTGCCTGAAGGGTCCGAACTGAGCTGTAAACATTTGTCGTCTTTAACCTTCAGAATGTGAATCGATTTTTACCTGAATGATAAATATGTATCAGCAATTAGTTGTTATTAATAATGTTACAAAGTAATAAACAGAATATATTGTTACGCGTTAGGAGTGGTATTAGAGTAAGAGGTCGGTTTTCTAAACTAAACAGTTCAACAGGTGAGACGGCTTTCTCGTCGCACAAGTCCTCCACTTACACTTCTTGACTTCTTCACACTGTCACTACTACTTTATAGTTTTCTTTATTTTGTTCCGCTTCTTTCCTCTTGGAGTTCCACCACCGAAGTGCTTTGTAACCCACTTCGTGCCTCTTTTATAGAGCTATATTTCGTATAGAATCGTCTTTTTTGTATAGAATGATCCCTTACATTTAAGGGGTGAAGTTTGATCGTCTTTTGTTGTTTGTAGATTATCACGGAGTAAGAACTTTTTTCTAGAATAGCATTTTACAGTTAGTACCATAAGAATAGTACAATTTGAAACTGTCATGACAAGATGTTAATCAAGATGTCTATCGAGCAATCATAAACTCTCCAGAAAAGCCTTATTCCGAGCTACATTTTGTCGCTTAAACCACTCATGCCTATCCATGTACTATGTGCTTATGTAGCCGGCATCAAAAATCATTGCTTATAGTAATGATTCCCAGTATAGAATTTTGGAGATTTTCCTTTGCGTCGTACAGCATTGTGAAGTCATGCCAAATTCTTTCATCAAACCTTTTCCAGTTAGGTTTACCATCATATCGTGTCTTGATTCTGCCACTAGCTTGGACATCTGCATCTCTTACATGTGCACAAATATCCTCTCGCTTAACTCTTTAGCATATTCTGTTACAAAACCACGTCTGAATCTGTTCATAAATGTTCTATCAATCTCTTATATGTTTTTGGTATATATTAATCACCTCTTAGCACTTCGGTGTATAGAGAGTCTAACGACATGTAATTGTAAATGTAAATTAGAAAAAACAAATCGAATACGTAAAACGCAATTTGAAAACGAAAAAACGTTGAGACGTGAGATAGCGCCGAATCCACCTAAACGTCGCGGTAATAAAGTTGACATGAGATTGTGAGGTAGAATTTATGACTTTCTTTATTATTAATAATATGAATCCGTGTATTTATGTCTTCTTATTTGAGGGCTTAGAAATAAATTATGGTTCTTCGTAATTGTTAAAATACAACGTGCAAACGTCATAATTTCTATTTATAAACCATTTTTTTTCGGATTGTATGTTTTAGAAACATTTATTACTAGAGGTACTCGTACATACCTCGAGCACGTTGGATTGTGAGAAGAGCGAGTAAAAACAATTTAAACAACATGTTTGAACGATAATCACGATACTAATAAGGAATCGCAACATTAATGTTAACATTTGAAACTATAGCAAGCCACATATTGATATCTCCTATAATTTAATCAGCAATTAATGATAAGAGTAATCGTAAGATATAGAACAAAAATACATATCAGTTTTAACGAGAAGGCAACAGATTCACGTCGTAAAATTATAATTTAAAGTGCAATTTCGCCTAGCGAAGAGATGTTTGATCTCTTTGAATTTTTGTTGTATCTATCATGGGGAGTGCTCTGAGGAGTTTGTTAGGATTAATATCTGCTGAGCTTGACCACCGTGCGACAGGTTAAACTGTCAAACACCAACGCTACACTTGAGTTGTGTACTTCATATTATTTTTGGCCATGCACTACCAAATTGTGGAATCACTTCTCGCCAACGCTATTTACGGATTGATACGACTTAGGAACCTTCAAGAAGAGTGCTCATTCCTATTTATAAGGCCGGCAATGCATTCGTGACTCCTCAGGTGTTGCCAAAGTCTATGGGCGGCGGAGAAAACCTACTATCATGTGGCTCAGCTTCTCATTCTCCATTTCCATAAGAAAAATTTATTGATATATACATGAACTACATTTTTTTATGTAAGAAGATGGCAAGCGAGCTTGCGGTTAACGTGATGTTAACTAATAGCCGCCACTCATGGACTTACACAACACCCGTAGGCTTGCAGATGCGTTGCCACCTTTTGATAAAGTGGGCCCCGATTATCTCACGCCATACAAAACGCAGAAGTATAACATTTTAATTTCACGCCAGTCTACTGTGAGTTCATGTTAGTTCTCAGGATGAAGCTGTCCAATCGTGCAACAGCAACGAAGACTGCTGTGAGGAATAAAAACAGTTAAAAGTTTAAGTTAAAGTTTACTTTAAGTTAAGTTTACTATTAGGAAGAAACATCATAATTTATTGTCTCGAGATAAAAATATCTGAACAAAAAATTCTTTTTAATCTATAAAATTATAAATGAAAGTACCTATGTTTTGTAGATAAATGGGTTAAAACTTTCGGCGCTCCTTATCAGTTACCTCTAGTGATGTGCCGGATCATTAAAATTGTAGATCCGCTGATAGGGATCCATCCGGATACGGATCATTGGCGTCAAAATCCGCAGATACGGATACGGATCTTAACTTAATATCCAGGAAAGTCTCAATATTAGTGTATCCAACGTCCTTGATTTTGTGTCTGATTCGAAGGATAAATTATATTTTCGTTTTTCAGAAATTGATTAAAAAAAATTAAGTAGCCACATTTTTAGACCCAAAAAAATTGATTACAAGTTTGGAAAATGAAGTAAATCTCACAGCAACTACAAAAGATACAAAGGACAAACCAATGATTTTTGCCAGAGTCTAGAAAAGTCTATGGCTAACATGTTAGATAGTGACGATGATGACGAATATTAAATATGAAAACTCATTTACTCATACAGTATATGTCAGAAAAAAGCTTATCAAGAGAGCTGCGATCCACTAAAATATTGGCAGATTAACAGTAAAAAGTTTGGAGGTTTGCAGTTTCTGAATTACTGATCATCCTAGAAGTCTGATTATTAAGAAGATCATTCTGATCAATTCAGAGAGTTTAACAACCCTTTTGGCAACTCAAATAACATTTGAAAAACCATTTCACAGTGGTTCAGAAACCGGGCGTCAGTCATACCACTGGGCGATCCGATTGGTGTGGGGAGTAATGAATTCGATCCCCACTGCTGGAAAAACATTGTGTGATGAACATGGTGTTTTTCCAGTGTTTGGGTGTTTATAAATGTATAATATGTATTTATTTACATTTGTAGTATTTTTCAGTATGTTTATACCCACAGAAGTCTAGTACCCATAGAATAAGCGTTGCTTAGTTCGAGACTAGAGAACGTTATGTAAAAATGTGTCTGAAAATATTTATATTTATATTGGTCGCACATATTTGACTTTTTTCATTTTATTTTATCACTATATATTTATCTTTTATCATTATAAAGTTAACACTTTGAGTGTCACGGTGTATTAATTTACTTATTTAGAATAATCATTTTATTACGATTATAAGGGTAAAGATCCGTAAAAGGTCCGTCAAAAATGTAGCGAGTTCGGATCTTTTTTTCCAGCGGATATCTGAGGATAAGGATACGGATACCTTGCCACCTTTAAATAAAGTGGGCCCCGACTACCTCACTCACCAGACGAAACTTAGAAGTATAAAACTTCTACTTTACGCCGGTCTTCTGTGAGGTCGTGGTACTTACCCGGACTGACCTGCCCATTCGTACAACAGTGTTGTGTGGCGCTACCACTGTTAGTGTAGTTACTATTTGAACAATGTCTACACGGTTCATATTTATTATACACGTGGAGAAAATAGGTAAAGGGAGAGTTACTGCATATTTTTCCCTACTTTTATTTACTTTCGAGTTGTCTCGTCTGATGATGTCATATGTCTAGCTTGAATAACGCTTGGGTGAATCTATACATGCCAAACCATGCTAAAAATAATTTTGAAAATCATAAACCACCATTGGTGCCACCTATTATGCTAAATGGAATACAGTTAGTGCAGGTTGAAGTTTTTAAATATCTAGGTCACTTAGTAACACCAGCCTTGAGGGACGACGCCGACATTGAACGGGAACGAAGGGCGATGTCGGTCAGAGCTAATATGGTGATCCGTAGGTTTGCAAGATGCTCTACGGATGTAAAGATTACTCTTTTTAGGGCTTACTGCACTTCATTTTACACGTGTAGCCTATGGACTGACTATACTCAAAGATCGTACAGCGCCCTTCGGGTCCAGTACAACAATGCATTCAGGATGTTGTTGGGGCTCCCTCGCTATTGCAGCTCATCAGCGATGTTTGCTGAAGCACGCGTAGACTGCTTTTTTATCATAATACGTAAGCGAGGAGCGTCGCTGGTGCGGCGAGTGCGGGGGGCCACCAGCGGCATGCTGGTAGCGCTGGCGGATGGGCTTGATTGTATATATATTAATCGCTGTTGTGGACTTCACGTTGCACACAGAGGCTGAGGTAAGTGGGCCTCGTTTGGATGATATTTTTGTATGTTGTATTTTTTGCTTGTAATGGTTAATTTGTATAATTCGTGATTTCTTTTATCTTTCGTTTTGTTTATTTTTTTTTAATATGATAAAATGTAATTTTGAATGTGGATGTATATGAGTCTTAGTAACTTGAAATAAATGATAATAATAATAAACACATAGCAAATTGAAAAGGAAACTCTACTGTTACAATTAATAATACTATTTTAAACAATAGCACAGCTTAGATGTTTTCGAAAAATTAAACGTATTGCAAGTAAAAAATCAAAATAAAATCATTGGAAAGTTGAAACCACGCAGTTAAATAACTGTTAAGTGCAGAAAAATAATCACTTCATCTCAGACCTCACTTTGTAATATGCCTTTTTAGTTAACTTCTACAAAAACGTGATCACTTAATTGATTTCGATACGTAGTATCCACTACATAATACAATACAGTATTTTTTTATCTTTTTTTTTAAACATTTTTGCACTGTTACCACGACTTCTGCTGCAGTAATTTTGTGCAGTAAAATAATAAAAGACAGATTTTTAAAGTGATAATTTTGCGTACACAACTGATATTATATGTATATATGTTAGATATATATTAGATATTATAGTGATGAAGATATTTTTTATTTCTGAAACAGTCTTTTTTATGTGAGGAAGTGGCAGACAATCTAGCGGTTCACCTGATGTTAAGTGACAGTAACAGCCGCCCATGGACATGTGCAACACCCGTAAAGTTGCAGATGCGTTGCCACCTTTTAATAAGTTGGGCCCCGGCTACTCCACGCACCAGACGAAACGCAGAAGTATAACACCTGCCACTTGATGAATTTAAACGAAAAGTTAAAAGTAAACTTATGGCTAAAGCATACTATACTATTGCTGAATATCTTGACGACGCCAATGTGTGGGGTTAATACTGTTGATACTCACGTAGGCTAAAACAAGACTATTATACCTGTAACATTATATTGTAAACTGAGAAAAAAGGAGCAACTGTTGAGTTTCTTGCCGGTTTCTTCTCAACAGAAACTGCTTTCCGAACCGGTGGTAACTTACGAACATTAATTAATTTCCTTGTAAAATTTCGACGTTTCATAAGAACGCGCAAGCGTCTATGTGAATAAAGATATTTGGGGGATATTCATTTGATTTCTCGTCTGATTGGGTTTATAAATAAAAAATAAACATATAGATACATATTGTATATATAAAATAAATATTATGCATAAAAATATTGTATTATTATATTATTGGGGGATATTCATTTGATTTCTCAATAATATCAAATACATAATATCAATAAAAAAAAATACATAATCTGATTAAAGAGACACATTTTTTTACTTCAGCTGCCCCGGCCTTGAGACCCCTTAGATGAGAGGAAGCCAAAGTATCTACACAAGTAGCATTCCAATCAAGTGTTTTACCGTTTCCCAAAGGATTCAAGTTAAGCTGTCAAGTTTCTTTCCATCCTCACGGAAAATACCACAGGAATCTAAAATTGTAGGAACGTGAAACAGATGACTATGTTTAGTCAAGCGTCGCGTGAAACGCGGCCAGCACATTTTTGACATGAACTCGTACTGCCATTGTCTGACAGCTTTGTTCTGACTTGTGAGGATTCAAAACTGATCATATAGCCTGTTTCGGACATAACTTGTTGTACAAAAGAAACTAGATCCCATCTCGGGTATAAATGAGAACTAAGCGTTTTTCCTTTTCCTGGTTCGTGAAACAGATACCAACTTTTCTTGGTAAATTTATTTTACAATACAAAGTTTTTGGTTTGGGCGAGACCACTTGACTATCACTGAGGTATTACGTTTAACATTTGCCACACATTACTACACAGACGTCTGTGACGACGCAGCAGGCCGCCTTATCCAAAAAGCCATGGCGGCATCAACCTGCAAGATAAGAGACTACAACCTTAAAATGGCAATTAGGAACAGAGACGCAGCGGTCGCAGAGAGACTAGCAAAAAAATAATACCTATTACCAAATAACCTGCGACGACGATATCTCCGTCCCTTCTCCCTACAGCAAAAACTGTGCAGATCAAAATATATATATAATAATTATTTTATATATATGTATAATAATAATAAAAAATATGTAAACATAAATATGAACTCACTGCTGCACCGCTACCAGCCCGGTTGATGTACGCGGCGGTGACAGCCCAAAAAGAAAATTAAAAAAAAAAAACATGTTGACCAAAAAAAAAAAAAAGAGTACGGACCACGAGTCTGCAGAGTTACTTTATTAAAATAAAATAATAAAAAAAAACATTTGCCACGCCACCGCTCCTCTTCACGCGAGTGGTTAGGGATCACCTAGCCCATCGAAAACCATCATCGACAGCCACGTGCCAATTATCTTTATCGCAGCATCTCCTCGTGATACGGATTATCTCACGGATAAGCGCACAGCGAAGATCTACGCAGAGATTTTTTTTATTCGCCTGCTAATAATTAAAATAGGCAGTCCTCTACCGCCTCGGTTGCATTCAGACTCGGCTGTCAAGAGTCGCCGGTGTGTCGCGCTCGCATAAATTGCCGGCCCGTGTGCCTCGATGACGGAACTTTTAAAAGTTCTCGATATATTAATTTCGTGTTAACGGTGCATTCGAATTACGATTTACCAATATGACTATAATTTCGTCGGCATTCCTGAAACAGGTATTTATGATTTTTTTAATGAGATTTTATAGATTTTTTGTTTATAGCAAAAACTTATATAGCTATTCTCGAAGACTGCGTAACGTTGAATCAAATAAAAAAAAGCGTGGTGTATAATCTAAATGAAAAATTCAAACAGCAGTACGTTTAATACAAGGTTATGAAAATAAATTTCACCGTTACAACAAACTTTTCGTGGTGTGGATGACCATAATTTTCTTGTAACGGCCGAAGTTTATGTTTCTTTTTTTAATAAAAATGGGTCATTTCTCTACAATAGCTCATTTTTCATACGACTCGGTGGACGTGAAACTTAATTTAAAAACAAATTCGCATGCGGTAGAAAACAAAAATATATATATAACTAAATAAGAAGAAAGATGAATACCATTTTATGGGCGCAATAGAATAACTAAATAGAGTTATTTATTGTCAGTGTTCTCGTTAGGTAGGCAGTAAAGTCTAGAGTGATGGGGTTGATTATATCGTACATTTATTCCAGTTTCATTCTTATTTGGGAAATTACTAGTTTATTATTCTTTTTCCAACAACGGTGATTTCGATTTAAGGGTCGTCATGAAAAAAACGGTACATAGTATTTGTTATTTTTTCTAAATCGATTGAATCAAGGAATCGTTATAATTTTTCATGCTCTTATCCCATAATCATTAACAGAAACGTGGCGTAGCAAAGGATTTTATCATATTTATTTGCTTATAATTACAATTAAAGCTTTAGTTCAGCTGTTGCACGAACGGGCAGGTGCGTCCGGGCAAGTATCACCTCAGCCTCACAGAACACCGCCGTGAAACGGAAGTATTAAACTTTACGTTTCGTCTGGTGAGTGAGGTAACTGGGTCCACTTTTTAAATTCGTCAATGCATCTGCAAAAAAAAGGTGCTGTAGATGTCCGTTGGCGGCGGCAATCGCTTAACTTCACGTGAACTTGGCTCGGTTGCTAAGATGTCACATAAAAAAATGAAGTAAATGTATTGTTATTAGTCTGAGGCATGCGAGTTGGTAAGAAGGATGGCCATAAGCTCTTTTTACCTTGAATTTTAACAAAAAATCTTGGCCTTGTATTCTGTGTGCTCTTGTTCTAATACAAATGTTTTGTATTCTTCTATATGAATCCAGGAAAAATCTAAACCCGAATAAATTATCTGTCATACGCATGCTTGTCCCGTTCGAGGTTAGAACCGATCATCGGCCCCCATCGACCTGCATCAGCAAGCGCTGATCGAAGCTTTATTATAGCTTGCAAGTCGTGTGTTCAACTCAGCCAATTAATTAATAAGGCTATCCTTTAAGAGCAGCCATTTATCATGTAATTAAAATAGGGGACACGAAAAATTAGACATATCTAACATCAACTGTTACTAAGTGACAGATAAGACCCATTTTGCGTGTAAGTATTGGAAAAACGGTTTTCTGCTTGTGCACGCTACTGGGGCCTATATCGGTGATCTTCGTCAATTGTATATTTGGCATTCCAGTCATCGTTGTATAAAAATATTTAACACTCTCGCTACCTCTGGGCTTGCATAATTAATCTTAGGCACTAGCGGTACGATCGACGCCGTGATTTGCTAATAAAAGTACACAATGTGCCTGCGTTTGTTTAATAAACACGTTTCTACCAACGCATCTCCAGTGGGTTGATAAAAATGGTCGTTTCTTTAATGGCAAAATTAAAGCGTGTTTGATGATTAAGCAACGATTTATTAAGATTTATGTATATTATCGCATGAAGTATGCTGGAGATGTGTGACCTTTACCAGACCCTGTGATTTTCATTCTGAGATTTTCATTGTAGTAGAGTCATGATTCTACTACAATATGCACGCAGCATTTGCTGCTTTTTAATGGTGCTGTTTATTTGTAATCTAACTATGCATGTTCGAGCAAATTCAAACAAAAAGTAAACTGACCTTTTTATTAAGGCTGAAACGCGCCTGGGAAATAATCATTATTTATTTTCACATTTTTTGGCATATTCATGGAGCAGTAAGGGACCTTAAATTCGGTAAACATGAATGAGTTCTTAAATCTTCGTTTTATATTTAATTTCATTTGGTATCTAGCATATCACGTGATCTGGGTGTTCTTAATGAATAAAAACCGATTGTGTAAAACAGTTCTTTTTGTTTCAAGTGTATTGGATTTACTCAGCCCGTAGACAGTGCTCGATTATAGCCGAGTCGTGTAATTCAGTTCCATTGACACGTTGAGATTAAGTTTATTTGATTCTGTTAAAATAGTTTACATAGCCCTGCAACTACTTTGTGTCGATGTGAAGCTTTTTACTAAAAGTTTGAACGCCTTTTTTTCTAAACAATTAGCCGCTCAATTGGGATATGTATGTATTTTGTTCAATTGAGGTTTCATTACGGGATTAACGGGAGTACCGTTAAAATTATCATTGTATAATGATGTTTGAAATTCTTTGTATGCTTTGAGGCCGTAATAATACTGCCAATAATATGCGCCAAGCATTGCTTAAAATGCGAAAAAACAATGCAGATAAAATACATTACTTTTCGGTGGTAGGGCCACGCAGCGGCCTTGGCTGTTGCACGAATGGGCAGGCTCGTCCGGGTAAGTACCACGACCTCACAGAAGACCGGCGTAAAGTGGAAGTATAATACTTTCGTGTTTCGTCTGGTGAATGAGATGGCCGGCCGGAGCCCAAATTTCATAAGATTGTCAACTGCACAACCTTCGGGTGTATCAGATGTCTATGGGCACCGGTATTCACTTAACGTCAGGTGAACTGTCTGCTCGCTTGGCAACTTTTCACTTAAAAAAAAAACACGTTGAGATTGTCGTGGATGTGCCAATCAGAATCAGAATCTTTACTTTTTAACCTTAAAACTATTTTTTCTTAATGATACAGAGGTTTTTAAGTTACGTTCGAAAGAAATATTTGTCAATCAAAATTAACATACGTATCCATAGAAACAAGTTTGTTCTTTTGCACATATTCACGTACGTCCGCGTGGAATACGATGAAAGCGAAAAATTCAGACCGATACAGACAGATGTCTATACATATAATAAAAATGTAACTTGTGTTTATCTGTACATGGAAGATATTTGAGAAAAACTATTATTAAAGGTCCCCCTTTATGAATGCAATATAACCCAAAATAATGGTTATTAACATTGTTGTCTGTGTGTATGTGCGTTTGTGCGCGTTAATCTCAGATTTGTGTGCAACTTTCACTAATGCATTATAGTTCTTCACTTAACATTTAGTCTAAGTTTTATTAAAATCGGTTCATAAATAAAAAAAAATTATATCAACTTAAAAAAAGTAATATCAACAGCTGAATTGGATGAAACTATAGTTAAAGATAATTATATTATGGTCTGTAAAATGATGATGATTGTTAGATTATATAAATTTAAAAACCAGCTCAGTGCGAGTCGCAATCGTACACGAAGGGTTCTATACCATAATCTATAAAAAAGGCAAAAAAATCATATCTGTTGTTATAGCGTCAACAGAAATACATCATCTGTGAAAATTTCCACTGTCTAACTATCGCAGTTCCTGGTGCCACACGGACAGACGTCCGTCTGTCACCAGACTGTAGCAGATTGCTAGCTGTCTAGATAGTATCTGTCTTTTTGTTTGAACTTGCTAATCTCAGCGAATGCATAGGTTCGATTAGAAAAATTCTTACACTGTTAGATAACTCATTTATTGAGGAAGGCTACTTTTTAAGCACGATATAAAATGTAGTACATACAGGCGGAACCGCGGGCGAAAAGCTAGTGTTCAGCAAAATATCACTTTATATAGTTACCACATTCATAGTCTTGCCTTTTGAGAAACAATTACTATGGGTCACACAAATAATTGTCCCGTGTGAATCGAACCCACGCCGAAGGCAATGCCTTGACAACTACGCCATGGTCCGTGATCGAGCGAGTGGTATTCGCGAAATTTGAGCCACACCCAGTGACAATCTCAGCTTGAATTATGTGTCTTTGTAGAGAAGTTACGTTTATATGAAGTTGAAAATGGAATCTGCCATTACACAATTTTACCCAGACATTGCGCGGGATTTTATATGCAGAAAGGCCACCTATAGTAAGTGAACTTAAAAACTCAACCGACTTATTTGTGGCTTGGTCATTGTTTGCAGTGAGCATAATGCGTTCACGTAAACGAGAATTATTCTGATAACATCAGGAAAATTTTTGGTTATGTGAACACAGTTCAGTATTTGGAGAGCTTTCAATTCTCCAAATACTGAACTTATCGGTTTGTCCATTTTTATCTGAAAGGATATCCATTCAGCCTTCTCAAATTTTAATAAAACATCGTAAAATTCTTGGCCAAGTATTATGTTTTTGAGACCAGAGATAAGAATGCTTATGTGAGGCATTTATTTATTCGCTTTAGTTCCCTGAGTAACGAAAGGAAGGTTTTCGAAAATCTCCGGAGAAAACAACGTGACGTTCCCCTATGGCATTTCATCTCGGTGTATGTACTGTAGTTATATTGTTATTATCTATATATATACTTATCTATAAAAAAATTATGTATGTTGTATAGGAGCCCCACTTAAATATTTATTTATTCAGTTTTTTAGTATTTGTTGTAATAGCGGTAACATAAATACATAATTTATAAAAATTTCAACCGTCTAACTATCACGGTTCATGAGACTGACTGGTGACAGACGGACAGACAGACAGCGGAGTCTTAGTATTATGGTCCCTTTCTTTTTACCCTTGGGGTAAGGAATGAAAGAAATGGTAGCAGTGTGCTAGATGGCAAGGGATTATCATCATTTAGGACGGTGCAGAAACAGTGTGTTTTAAACTGTACGCTGGGTTTTTATTGGTGGATTAAAACATTTTAAATTTTTTCAGCATTTTTCATAAATTCTATTTAGCATTTGCAAATTTTACATAGTGAAACGATAATAAAGTTATTTTTTCTTGTTAATAATAGATATGAAATTTTACTATTATACATATATGAC